CTGAACTGTACAGAAAACTCCAAGTCAAAAAAGTTAAATCAGAGAAAAATCAGTTTTGRGGCTGCAGTTGGTTTAGATTTTTGTAAAATTTTCGTACTTATTTGTAAAGGAGCACATTTAACAGTTTAATGTTGATCCACAGGAGGATGTTTCCCAGCTTCAAGGTCAAAGTGACGGGTATGAACCCCAAAACCAAATACATCCTTCTCACAGACATCGTCCCCGCAGACGACCACCGATACAAATTCTGTGAGAATAAATGGTGAGTTTGTGTAAWTCTCACCCACAGCTTTTTCATTACAAACTGTTGTTTGAAAAAAAAATCACAAAGGCAAAAAAAAATGTAGTAAATAAAGTAAATCCAGATCTGAGATTTTCTGAAGTGTCTCATTAACAAACATCAAAACTAGGTCTAGGTCTTCAAACTTTTGGGTCTGGTCATCCAACATGATGATATGTAGAATAGCTAGATTCTGTATTTAACTTTAGCACCACMGTGGACCTTCTTTACTAAGGGAAGTCCAGGAAAATGTACACCTTTTCCTTACCTGAATGGTACTCCTGGTTTAAACCAGTCAGGGTGTCTGACTTTCCCTTTGTCTGGCTCTTACTGTGCTCAGTCCAGGTGGGGTTTCTCTTCAAACCACAGCTAATTCTTTACAAGTTCAGCTTTAAACTCTGTAGGTCTGAGCCCTCTGGCAGGTCCACGAATCAGGCATTAATCCACATGGACTGTGCCTCCAAGTCTTCTCATGTGTTGCTCAAAGCGTCTGCTGCAGCAGAAAGTTTGATCATATTAGCTTGCACAGTTACGTGTTCACTTTGCTCATTAATTACTCTTAAAATAAATAAAATCGTAAATAATTTCATTTTGATGAGCAACATTTCTTCCAGTGGTTTTAGAGTAGCTGTCCCTTCCTTCTTAATGAACCTTGCTTCAACATAGCATCTCTTTTAACAACCACACTGTAAAAAATAACTTGTAAGATTTACTAGAGAAAATCCTGTAAACGATTTGCACTAACATTTGTTAAGTAAATTTAAAT